CAACGTTAGAAAATGTTTAGAGCAGTCAGAGGGGAAGGAGGGAACTTTACCTTTATTCTGTGTTTTATTTGGTGCTTACATTTCAACTGAATGATGGAGGCGAGACGATATGATATGAAAGGAAATAAGCATTAATCTTGAAATATGGACCTTTAAAATACACACAGCAAAATGTCCTTCAAAAATAGAAGAGATATAATTTGTCCAATGAACAAAAACTAAGATTACATTCCCAGAAGAATTGCACTAACAAAGTAACTAAAGGGGAATTTTAAAAAATGATTCCAGAAAAAAAGCATGGAAATGCAGGAAGGAATGAAAACAGAATGAGTAGATAAGTGAATATATCTAAGTGAACATTGAGAATAATAATAACATTGTCTTGTGGATTCAAAATATGTTCAGAATTTATCTATTTAGAATTTAAATGCTTATAAACAGTTAACACATGGTAGAAGAGAGTAAATTCAATTGCAATACTCTTAAAATTCAAGCATTGCCAGGAAAGTAGTTTAATTGGTACTGTTTATTATCCACAAGAAGTCTAGGGTGTATGTGGTAATCCCAAGTATAATCAATAAATTAAAAAAATTAAAGTGTATAGCTAAAAAAAGTCAATAATGGGGGAAATAGAACATAAAATATTTGATTAACCAATAAGAAGGCAAAAAAGGAATGAAAAGGGTATATATCACAAATTAATCAGAAAACAAAATGATTGATAAGACTTAAATATACTAGTTATTGAATTAAGTATAAACAGATTAAATATTCCATTGGAATATTTATAATGGATTATATATATATATATACATGTATATAATACATATATACATATATATATAATATAGTGCATAGAAGAGGCATTTTAAATATAAAGCTACATAGAAATGTGAAGTAAAAGGATGGGGGAAAATATCCCATATAAACAAAATATCCCTATAACCAAAAGAAAACTCACTTAGTAAAGTTTTATGGCAAGGTTTAGTAAAGAAGAACATGACAAACATAAAAGAATCAATTTACAATAAATGATCCAAGTAATCTTAAATCTACATGAACTCACAAACATAAGTTCAAAATATGTAAAGCAAAATTAGAAGTAGATAAATCTATTAGAGCACAGCAGGGGACACTTGCTCTAACTGACAAGACAGATAGTATTTATTTTTCAAGTGTACATATAAATACTATTTACCAGAATTGACCTGGATTACATGCTGGTTTATGAGACAACCCTTAACAAATATTTAAGGGTTTCATTTCATTTCTCTGATCACAATGAAATTAAGATGAGCATTAACCAAAAAAAGGATAATTTAGACTATTTTCAAACATTTGAAAATGAAGCAATGCACTTATAAATAATCCCCATGTCCAAGAAGAATTCACAAGAGAATTTAGAAAGTATTTTAAATTGGCTTATAGCAAAAAAATTTAATTGACAAGTTGGGCAGTGGAAATAAAACCCTGTGCTATGAGATAGAAATAATGATATCTTCCACCAAATAACAAATAGACCACTACTAAAGTTGACAGTTTGGGAAAAGCTGCCTAGAAGGCACTGTGCTACATTCCTCTGGGCTATTATGATAGGTTGCCTAATGCTTAATGAGATATTTTTGTTCCTTACTAGAATGTGATTGCAGAAGATAAGGCAGCATATGATCAAGAGTCAGATACTACAATTAGGAAGGCACATTGCTTTTAAAGAAAAATTTTGAAAACTGAAAACTCATTAAGTTTATTAATAGCAATATTGTCTCATTCATTTTTTCTGTCACATGTCTAGCACATGTAGACCTTAACAGGTGCTCAACAAGTATTTTCTGATTGAACGACCTATAGTCTTTGTCCTTTGAAAATTATATTTATACCTGTTATCTCAAATTGAGAGGTCATGTGACGAGGAAGTGACATATTAACTTAAGAATTGAGGAATGAGAACAACCAAGAAAGATAAGGAGATAAGTGCATTCCAAGCATTGTGGAAGCCTAAGGCAGAAACAAGTTTGGCAGGTATGAGAATCATCGAACCCTTGAGTGGTTTTAGCATAGTAGTCAAAGGTGCAGAGGCTGATAAAGATTAGGTTAGGCAAAAGTCAGGTCATGTAGAGCTTTTATTTTATTCTGATTGAGATGAGAATCACCGGTAGGGTTGTGGGGGAGGAATTTACAAATGGTTCAAAATTAATCCCATTGAATTAACACTCTATTATATGACATCTTTTTCAAGCTTATCTTCTACTACTACATTGTACACTTCACACAAATCAAGCTATTCACCATTTCCCCAGTGCTTTGTTTTCGCTTTTCATCATTGCTTATGATGGACTCTTCCTGGAATTCTCTCTTGTCCCTTGCTTCCATAACTAAACCCTGCTCATTTTCAGTGCCAATCCTCAAATGCTATCTACTCCATGCTTACTTACCTCATGACTCCTTCCCTAATTCCCATAGTCAGAAGTAATCTCTCCTTTCTGTGAAATTCCATAGCATTTTATAAAGTTATGTAAGTTTATATTTCTAGTCCACTTTCTTAATTGAAGTAAAGCCTCTGAAAACTCACGAAACTCTCAAATCAGCATACCTAATTAAAGCTTAACATGTATAAAACAAAACTCTTACTTACTTTACTCCTGAAAACTATACTTACTCTAGTCTTCTCTACCCTCAGAAAATTATACCATCATTCATACTCATTACTCAAGAGTCCAAAGTAAAAATATCAATTTTTTCCTTCAAACTACATATGCAATCAAGACTCAAATTATGTCAGTCCCACCTTAAATTTATAATCCAAGTCAAACCCATCTCCCCTACTACTGTTTTGTCAAAGTAACCATCTTCCTTTGCATGGATTTTTACCAAAGTCTCCTTAATTTGATTTCCTATTTCCACTCCTTTTCAGTAATCAGGCTGATTTTAGAGAAACAGATTTTGTCACTCCCATGTTCTAAAACTTTCAATGATTTCATACCTGACTTAGTGTAATATCAAGATGTCTTACCTTTACCTTTTTACACTATACTTACACCAGTCCTGTCATATAATTCTTGCTCTTCCTTATTATACTATTACTTCCTTAAGAACTTCGTACTCGGAAAGATCTTGACAGTCAAGGTAAGTGAGATACCTTGCACACAGATATAGATTATTTTTATTTGTTTTTCCATTACCTAACTTGATAAATAATATATAATAGAACTCAAAGATGTATTTGTTTAAGCAATACATATCTCTTAAAAAAATTGAATACTTTAGCCAACCACATGATTAGAATATAATCCTATATTGTGATTATTTGCTAATAATATCTAATTTTGCCCAAAATGTCAGAATAGGGAGAACAAAAACAAAAATTAACAAATGGAATTACATCAAACTGAAAATCTTCCACATAGAAAATGAAACTACTACTAAAACAAAAAGGCACCCTAGGGAATGGAGGAACATATTTGCAAACCATTTATCAGAGGAGTTAATATCCAACTCAATAACAATCAAAAATATACAAAGTGACTTAAAAATGGGCAGAGGATCTAAACATTCCACCAAAGAAGACATACAGTGACCCACTGACACATGAAGCAATGTTCTCCACTTATCACAACAGAAATGTAAATCACTAAATCACTACCCTCGGAAAATTGCACAGAAATTAGAGTCAAAGCCATAATGAGATCTTACCTCACATTTGTTGGCATAATTATTTTTTTTTAAATCAAGAAATAATAAAAGTTGGAGAGGATGTGAAGGAAAAGGAGCTCTCGTGTACTATTGGTGGGGATGTGAATTAGTACAATTGTTAAGGGTAAGGATATCCTAAAGGAACTCTGCACCCTTGGGTCCTCTCAGTTCTCTCCCTGGTACTGCTGGGAGTTATAGTTTCCAATCACTGGATTAGGGGATAGAGTCCAGAAAGCTGGAGTAAGGGGTGGAGTCCATAAGACTCTGCAGAGTTTCTTTAGGACATCCTTCCCCTTAACATAATCAATGTGGAAAACACATGGAGTTTCCTCAAAAAATTAAAAATAGAACTTCCCAATGGTCCAGCAATACCACTTATGGGTTTTTACTTGAGGAACATGAAAATGACAATTCAAAAAGATATGTGCTTCCCTATGTTCATTGCAACACTATTCACAATAGTCAAAATATAGAAGCCCAAGTACTCAATAATGGATGACTGGATTAAGAAAATGTGGTGTGTATGCATAGCATATATATATACACAATGCAATTCTACTCCACTATAAAATAAGTGGAATTTTTCTATTTTGATAACATGGGTAGACCTTGAGGGAATTATTGTAGGTGGAAAAAGTCAGAAGGAGAAAGATAAACACCACATAGAAACCTTCATATTTGGAATATAAATGGAAAAAAGCAGTTGAGCAAATGAAAAAAACTCAAACTCAGACTGACAACAGGATGGTGGTAATTAGAGGGGAGTAAGCAGTGAGGAAGAAATATAGGGGGCTTATAGGTTCGTGGTGGATGGTGATTGGACATTTGGTGCTAGGTGAGAAAATGTAAACCTGAAATTTATTATGTTATAATCTAATATTATCTCAATAAAAAGAAACATATATCCCTAATGTTATCGAAGGATGCATTAGCAGAAGTCTAGTAGTGTTTGAAAAAAGGCAGATCCTTCCATCAAATCACTTTTGAAATGTTGTGTTTGGCTCCAAATATATATTAAGGATTCTGGTTAACTGCTGCACTTAATGCAAAGGAGTTTTTCAGAAGAGGCACAAAAATTGAGTGGGACTATACTCTGTGAGGTATCATTAAAGGAACTGAGAATATAGCTTGATGAAAATGTATTTGCTGGGGAAGAGCTTGATTGGAAAAGTAACATGAAAGCATTCTGTGGATAGCAAAAAGTTTACCACAAGCAAGAGGGGGTTATTCTCTTAGCTATAAAATAAAGAACCAATTGTAGATATTTCCAAGAGGAAGATTTTAGTTCCATATAAGGAAGACTTTCCCATTTCAGTTTTTCCCAACCAGTGGTTTTCAGAACACTATCCATGTGGGGCTAAAGAAAGTGTCTATTGTCTTCATTGAGGGATTTCTCAGGATCTTTAGCATGAAGTATTAAGAAAAGAATATAAGATGCCTCATTCCCAAAATTTATTTATCCATAGAAACTTCTATTCACAGAGCACTGTTACCATTTCTTGAAAGAAAATTTCCTAAGAACATAGTGAGTTAAGCTGCTCAAAAATGCAGAGAATATCTTCTGAAGGAGTATGCTCAGATTTTCAAGAGTACTGCTGTTGCTGTTACTTTTGTATTTTTTAAACAAACCATAGTCACTTAAGCTAAAGTATATTACACTTGGGAAATGCACAACTTTCCTTAGTTGTTAGCTTACCAATTTGAGATTCAACATGGATGAATCTCATAGATGATACTATTGAAACAAAATCATGAGCCATGGCTGTGAACTTTTTCCCCATTAACACACTGGAAAGTAATGATTTTCCCAGGTCTGGCCATTGTTCATTCACTATGTACAAGGTGAAGTTTCTCAACATCTTTCACCAACAAAGAAACAAATATTTTCTCATGTGCTACAGTATCACCCCCTGTAGGCTCCTTGTGGAATTCTGCCCCTCCAATAAGCACCACATTTTAGAAGCTCAAAACTAGAGCATTAATATAAAGTTTTGAACAAACAAGGAATTTTCAGGCCTAAATGAAAAAATGACATGGTAAAGTCATTTGGAAAAGGAAAGCAGGGATTAAAAAATATCAAAATAGAGGCACTACTTCAGGACTAAAAAGAGTAACATAAAAAAAGGAAGCTGGATTCATAAAGATATTGTTATTAAATATTGGTTGAATGAGACATGATGTAATAATTTTTAAAAGTGGCTAACAATATTGAGAAGGCAGGATTGGGAAATTGTAATTAGTGTGTATGCAAGTGTGTTTGGGAGGGCATAGCCAGGGCTGAAACACTGTATTCCTTAATAGGAATGTGCACAGTAGAATGACTAATCAGATTTTCCACAATTTAAACCTGTTGTTTTTCTAGACCATGTTTAGTGTCTTTATCTTGGCTTCCAAAGATCTATCATGCTAAGAAAGGAGCATTTGGGTTAGTAGTTAAAATGTAGCTAACAGAAAAACATATATCTTCTCCTATGTGTTAATAAAATTCTGTCTCCTATCATATGTGCTGAAAAATGTACTAGGGCCTTATTAAACTTGGATATTTGGCAAGTTGGTATCTAGATCAGATTATACTAGACATACCAGTTTTCAAGGTCCTTGTGACTAATTTGAATCTATTGCTTAGGAAAAAACTTGCAATATTAATTTTCTGTTATTCTGCAATTTTACCCATATATCAGCACCTCATAAAATGGAGTCATTGGTTCTAAATGACAGGTAAAGAAATTCCAATATTAATTTTGAAAATCTACGAAACTAACATCCTGTTTACCTTTGTGCTTTTCATGGCCATCTAGAGACCACTGCCCAGCTCCAGCAATGCTACACAAGGTTTACTAACTTCACTGATAGAGTCTCAGGAGGCTTGCTCTTTGATATCCTGGAAAACTCAATGTTAAAACTGCCTCTATAATGGGAGAAAAGTAAAGGGATGAGCTCAGATAGGATGCTACTACTCTACCTTAATCAATAGGAAAAAAAGACTCTTGAAGAATGGTGTTGGCCAAGGCCACAGCCAGGAACTGCAGGGAGAGCCCAAAGAGACACTAGAGCTTTGTGTTCTTAGTTTCCAGGTTGATCATGTTCCCTTGGATATGTGGAATCGGCTTCTCTGCTAGCCGCTGCATATCCTGTGGCTTTGTCGGAACATAGTAGTAGGCCATGATGGAGAAGATCAGGCAGACCACCAGCAAGAGGCAGGAAAACAAAATGAATTCAGCCCACTGCAGAAAGAAAGAAATACAAGATAAGATATGGAGAAGTAAGAGATCTTCTTAAGATGAGAAATGGGGACTAAATTGACCCAGGGTCACCAGTTTAGGCAGAAGTTTGCTAGAAGCCTGTGTCCAAAGGCCTCTTCACGGAGGTCTATGGTGGCTACTCGTGCCTCTTACACATCTGTTTTCCTGAAAATGTCTATTCATCTATCACATCTCATATCACAGCACTGAGAGGAGAATGTGGGAGGCAGAGTAATGTGGCAGCAGCTCAGAGTTGGAGGAACTTCTTGGGTAGACAGAAGGCTTCCTCAGAACCATACCTGCACCAGGCCACTGAACTGCGCCACGATAAGCACAATGATGTTCCCAAATGCAACTGTCAACAACCAGGCTGCCTGGAGGACAGACTTCATGCTAGTAGGAGCCTAGAGAAGATACAAGTTTGTGAGCAGAGAACTCCTCACACCACATTCATGTCCCAAGCATCTATCCACCCACAAAAGCTTACAGATCCAAACTTCCCCCATTAAATTCAGGTAACATATTAATTCAGGGGGTGATAATAATGATAACAATAATAAGCTAGAGTTATTAATTGAATATTTTAATTCATTATGTGATATAATCTCCATTACAACCCTAAGAGATAAGTCCTATTGGAATTCTTATTTCATACATGAAAAAAAAATAGCATCAAAGGGATGGTAATTCTCTTGTTCAGGGTTACACAACTGGATGTACAGACAGAATTTGAACATAGATAGTTTGACTCTACATTCCTTCCTCTTATTCTGTAAGTATTCCTTCCTGGCTGCATTGCCATGATTCTAGGAGTCAAGATGACTCTCTGTTCATATATAAGGAATCAAGGGCCAAAATATATGGAGGAACTGACCATTACATTCCTTCCTCTTATTCTGTAAGTATTCCTTCGTGGCTGCATTGCCATGATTCTAGGAGTCAAGATGACTCTCTGTTCATATATAAGGAATCAAGGGCCAAAATATATGGAGGAACTGACCAGGGTTTCAGATTGACTTAAAGGAATGCCAGAATTAAAACTCACCATCCTCTGAGCAAATTCCACCTTTACTTTCCACTTTCAGAATCCTACCTGAGAATAAGAAAACTCAAGTCCTGTGACAGAGAACATGACCTCGGCAGCTGTAACCAGGGCATACTGTGGTAGCTGCCATGCGATGGATATTTTATTGGGTGGAATGTCTTCCATTCTCCAGGCCTGAGGACCCTGATTGGTTTTCTAAGTGAGGGAAAGAAGAAATTGGCTTGTCAATTTCTGGTTTTGAAATTTCCTTTTGGTAATATTGCACTCACTTGCCAAGCCTCAGTAGATCAGATATATATGTTTTGATTTTTTTTTACAAAGTCCTTAGGAACATTTCAATACTGTAGTTTAAAGTCTCCCTATTAGATCTATTGGGTATTTTGATCCTGACTAACATTTAAAATATAAAATGGCATTTGAATTATACAAACAATTAATTTTCAGAAAGCATATACTGGAGAAAAGTTCAAACCCTTGTCCAAATTTCTATGTCAGTCAGTACAATTAAACTGTTTTTTAAACATTAAAATTTTAATTTTGCAAAACTTACCTTTATTTGAATAAATTATTTTCTTGGTATCCCTTAAATGAGCATTTTATTGGTCAATTTTTTAAATTTCTTATCAAATACCAGCTGATGTTTCAAATTTTATTTACTGCCCATTTTTTTTACTCAAAATGTACATACTCAGATTTTGTCAATAAGATTTAATTTTTCTGTCAAATATGGTCAAAAAATTTCAAGGTCAATTTTTTTGTTATCAATGTTACCAAATATATATGATTTTTATAAGTTTTTGGTCAAAAACTAGTTTTACTATATGTTGGTTATTAGCTTGGTTGGTACTGTTTTATATAGAATATAGTTTATTCTATACAAAAAATAAAATTTTCAAATTTAATAGACCCGAGTAAAACCACTATTAAGTGTAGGTATAATATCTTGTTATAGTGAGATAAAAATACTAAGGTCCAAAGCCATTAAAGTAAAACATTCTTGGTGTCCAAACATCCCTGATACTCTGAGATGAAGGGATATCAGATTTGTCTTACTAAGGTAAATTTTGCTTTAGTTAATACTGTTAACAATACTTGCTCTTATGTTTGGGTTTTCTCAGTTTAAGAAAAGACCATGATCTAAACTTCTAAGTCAAGGTCACATACTTAAATACTCACAACCAGGTAATTAAATAAAGTACAGCAGGTTGAATGGGACTATTATTAACTAGACAGCACAAGCTCCATCTAAAGGGTACCTATGTTTTTGATGTCAAAAGAAAAATAGATAACTTGAACATCATAAAAATTAAAAATGTGCTTCAAGGGCCACCATAAGGAAGTTAAAAAGGCAATTTATTGAATATAAAAAAAATTTGTAAAGCTTGTGTCTGACCCAAAGCAGTTACCAAATGGCCTAGAAATACATGAAAAAAAACCCCTCAACATCAGTAGCCACCAGGAAAATACAAATCAAAACCTCAGTGAGATATCATTTTATACCTAGAATGACTATAATTAAAAAAACAGAAAAGGATGTGAAGAAATTATAACCCTCATACAGTATTGGTGGAAAAGCCTCCTACTTATAAACTCAAGGGAAAGTCAAAACATAAAATTTTGGAATGGATATTCATAACAACATTATCTATAATAGTCAAAATTAGATATACATGTAGATATACAGGACGATGGAAGGATAAAGTAGGCTACTTACATTAATAATAATGAACACATATGATACATCAAAGTCTAGTAGACCCAAGTTCAGTGAAAAGTTCTTATCTTCTGTCCTACAAGGCACTGAACGGTAACTGGAATAGGAAAACTTTAGTTTAGAATGAAGATCACAGTTTAGAAAAACACTATCTCCAAGGGAAAGAGTGATCTCATTTTACTACTGATGAATCAAGCATTGAAGTTACTATTTCTTTTTGAAGAGAGGCATCTCTAAGAGTGAATAATTTTCTTTTTTAGCTTGATTGTCTTTTAAAATTTTATTTGATAGTATATGACCCTTTTGATGATTGTTAAATTTGGTTTTCTAAGACTTTGTTGAGGATTTTTGTATCTGTTCATCAGAGAAATTGTTTTTTAGTTTCATTGTGATATCCTTTTCTGCTTTTGATATCAAGGTAATGTCGGTTTCATACATTATATTTGGAAGCATTCCCTCTTCTTTAATTTTTTGGAAGAGTTTAGGAAGGATAGGTATTTATTAATTTCTGGAAGTTTGGTAGAACTCCCTGGTGAAGTCACATGGTCCTGGCGTTTAGTTTTGGAAAGACTTTTGATTGCTGTTTCAATTTTCTTACTTGTAATCGGTCTTTAAATTTTCTATTTTTTCCCGATTTGTTCTTAGAAGATTGTATTAGTCTAAGAATCTTTCCATTTCTTTGAGATATTCCAATGTTGGCATAAAAATGTTCACAGTCTCTTATGATTCACAATATTTTCATGACATTTGTTGTAATTTCACTCTCATTTCTGATTCAATTCATTAGTGTTTCTCGCTCTCTCTCTTTTTTAGTGAGCTTAACTAGAGGTTTGTCTATTTTGTTTATCTTTCCAAAGGACCAGCTGTGGCTTAAATGACCTTTTGTACTGTCTTTTTTTATTTCTATTTTATTTACCCCTGCTCTAATACTTGTTATTTTCTTCCTCCTACTACACTTTGGTTTAATTTGTTATTTTTCTAGTACCTTCAGTTGTAAGGTTGGATAGTTTATTTGAACTTGTTTCTTGAATATAGACCTACATTGCTATATACTTCCCACAAAGAGTAAGCAATATCCTATCTGGTTTTTCTGTCCCTTATTTGAATAAGGTTTTTTTTTTTTTTTCTTTTTAAAAAAAACTGTAAACCTGAAAAAATAGTCATAAATCACCTACTTTTGTTGGGTTCGGGTCCTAAGTCTTCTAACCTAAGAATTATGAAGTTTTCTTTTGTGAGTCTTATGAATTAGTGGAATAGTGAACACCGAGTGAACTGTGAAACAATGAACCTGAAAGAATATGCTCAAGTAATGATGAGCCAATAGGAGGTGCCAAAGAGTAGAAGTTGAGAGTCAATGCTAAACAACAGCCTCTCCAAGATGGCTTTGTTACCTACACACTATGGCCTTCACTGCTATAATAATCTCAATATATCTGTGCAGACAAAGGTGAGACAGAGGGAAGGCCTGAAGCCTGGAAAAAGAGCAGGAAACTGGATATACTCAAAATTAGCCAACATACATCTGTCTTGAGTCCTCCACCAATATGCATAGAAAAGTGTTTTTTAAAGGTTGTTGATAAAAGTAAATGTCCACTAGGATATTGTTCTTACTCTCCACTTTGCACAGTTCTGTAAGCAGACACACCATAGTCTTCACCAACACTGAAGAAGATACTTCTACCCAGGGAGATGTTGACTTCTTCATGCAAAGTGTTTACAAACCTAAAGATGGAGACATTGTTACAGATAAGACAAGCAATCCTAAACAGAGACACCTCTAAAAGGGTAGCAGTGTTTTTGTTCTGCTTACCATTTTATCCCCAGTGCCTAGATTAGTGGCTGGCACATAAAAGGTATATCATGTATATTGTTTAACTAGGTGAATTAACTCACATTTAAGAAATAATCAAGAGTCTAGCTATCCCTAATCTTCTCTATCCTGAGGTGATAACTTTCATCTGCCTCATCCTCACCTGATCGCTGAGGACTCTGTCATGGCAGTCTGAGTTACCTCACTAATGTATCTTAGGTAAGCTCCATTTTTCCCTCTTGTAATGGTGGGATCCACCCATGGAGATTCCACTAAGAAATTACACACACACACCAGTATTTACATAAAGGTGGTATTTTACCCTCATAAATAATTTGCTTTGCTTTGGTCTTTGAACTAGGTGATAAGAAGGGCAGTTCCTTCCAGAATCCTTCATGTCGATTCATAAATTTTAGGTCAACCTAAAATTGCATTATTTTATACAACCGGATGGTCCTATTGCTATCTGACCTAGGGAAGTTTATCCTCACTGTTGTCTTACCTCTTGTGAGTTTTTTATTTTTCCTCTGCAGTATATCAAAGTATTATGACTATTCTACCCTAAAGTAAAATTCAAATTTCTCATTAAAAGTTCTCTTTCTTAAAGTTCTCTCTCTTGATTACATAATGAATATGTTTTTAAAATTTTTAAAAAGTTCTCCCTCAAATGCTATTGTCAAGAGCAACCACCTAATTTTGAAGGTCAAAGGCATTTGTATCTGTATATTTAATGTCAGATTCCTGCTGACCTCTTCAGTGCTTCATCTTTGTTACTTTCCCAGACTGCATGGGAAAACCTTTACCATAAATTTACCCAAATTTAATACAAAGTCTTTTGAAACCAGGTATATTATATACCATTATACCTCTAAAGGATTATAATTAAAAACTACTTATAACAAAGTAACAATAATTTATATTCCCTTAACAATAATGAAGGGAAGATTATTTACTCAGGTATCTTGGTTACTTTCCTGAGAGCAAGAAAGGATCTATGCATCAGACCACAAAAGCATACATAGATTCAGGGTCATCTCTGAATATCACAGGGGAAAGAAATCCTATTTGCCCTCACATTTGTGAAAATTCCTCTGACACACATGCCCCTGACATCCTAGGGGAGAATATACAGTTTAATATAAGTAAAATGTAAGGGTTCTTCATCTAAAACCCCACTGGTCAAAAGAGACCCAAGAGACCCAAAGAAGAGAATGGCCTGAGCTCTCCTGGACATCCAGACCTCACAGCTGTCATCCCATTAGTTGTTTTGTTTTCATCTTTCACCTACAATGGAGGAAAGTGAAAATCAGTTACAGATGACAACAGGGAACCAATAATCAAAATTTTTGATCATAGGCGTGTTAATGGTAAGATACTGATGAACCTAGGCCACCTCCCAATTTACCATCATGCTGGAAATATTTTTCCCATCTTCTCGAATGATCAGACTATACCAATTCTTCTCTTCCACAGAACTGTTGGTATTGACAGTCAGATTATGATAGTCGAGGTAGAAGTGGAATTCCTGGCTTTTTGCCTTCAGGTTGAGTTTGGAATAGTGTGGCATTTTCTGTAGAATGAAGAATATGCCACATTCACTTCCTGCTCATCTTGACCATCACAATCTTATATTATCCTAGTTAGGTAACTTCAGACTACGAGATTCTTTCAGTATCACCCACTAAACTAATAATTCCACATCTGGGAATATGTCTTAGGAATAATTAAAATCATGTGTAATGATTTAAAAGAAGGAAGTTCACTTTAGGGCTATATATAATAGTAAAACTTGAATACCTATAAAGGAAATATTTAATACAAGTAATATATACATTGAATGGAATATTATGTGTTCATTAAAATCATGTACTCCAATATTATCTAAGGACATGAGAAAAAATGTATGATGCAATTAATCCTAAGGAAAGATCCAAACAGAATATGGAATCTGAATGATTTTTAAAAATTTTTTTCTACCTTTACACAAAACGTGATTGGTATCTCTGAGTGATGGAGTTATAAGTGGTTTTCATATCTTTCTATATAGTCTCCAATTTTCAACAATAAATGTATGTTACCTTATATATAAAATTTTAATATATAATATATATTTTATATAAATTATATAAATATATAATATATTATAATAAATCATATAATAATATATTTGTATAATTTATATAAAAATATATAATATATAACTTCTTATTAATATATATAATCTTCCAAAGAGCTGCAAACCGGGCCCTCTGAATCATATAGTGTTATAAACTGTTACCTCAATAAAAAAAAAATAATACAATATATAAAATATTACAGGGTATGTACAGTAATAGTACTGTCAGTACACAATTCCAACATCCAGATGATGATTATTAGGAGGCAGTTTGAATGAATAATGCAAAATACAACCTACTGAAAATTTATAATCACCCAGACATTATGCTGAACATTACATTATGCTAAATATATAATATTTAGCCTTAAAACAGCTTATAATATTAAAAAGATTGTTGAAACTGAGTTTAAAAATAAAGTAACTTGTTCAGGGTCTTAGAAACTAGGAAGTGGCAAACCTAGCATCAGACGAGGACAGTCTGACTCACAAATACATGCTCTTAACAATTGTGTTATGCTACTGACAGTGCATAATGTGAATATCTTTCTAATACATTCAAGTCTGTACTTCACCTGAAAGGACTTGATGGACTCTGTCAATAGAGCATTGTTGTCATTTTCCAACACTGTCACCTTTACTTCATCATCTGCTAGATTTAAGACTTGTAGGAAAATCTCTTGGGATCCTGGCTGGGGTGGAGTCATTTCCTTGGAACAGAAAACACAAGTGACATTCATTAACAAACAATCCTTTCAATACATTGAATACACAAATCTCAGTCCTATCTCTGACAGCCTGGCCCACCTAGTCAGGACACATTCTTTTTTTGAATAACATTCGACTTAGAATAACACTGAAAATATTTTGGAAAGGGAACACAAGCTCAATGTATCTGATATCCAGTAACATTTCATAATTTTTAAATCAGCTGTGACCTCATGTGTCACTTTCCCATAGTTATTTAAATGCCAATCGGTATTCATTTGATTATCTGATAGATCACATAAACTTATATTCCCAAAGAAATGGCTAGATGCCTTCAATGTTAGTGTTCAGGATTCTTTGGTAATATACTCTGAATCAGTAGGTTGGGAGCTGGACCTCATTTTGCATTGTTTCTCTACCCTTACAGCTCTTCATTTATCATAATTATCTATCATGCAGCTTCTATAAGACAAATATTATGCTATGTCTCAGAGAATCAAAATTAAGTAAGTCAGAAAAGCAAGCAAGATAACTATAGTACTGCTTCCATAGAATTCAGGCCTCATTATACTCACATTGATTTTTATCTCTACAATTGCTGCAACTGCAAATGCCAGGCATGCTAGGATCATACCTGCAGCCATCTTCCTAAGTGATCTACGGAGGAAAGGGAGAGACAATGACACGTAAACTTTGGACAAAATTCCAGTCTTCACCCAAGCCTAAATACCATTACAGACTTTTCCTGATTTGGTAATGATTACAGTTCAAGTTTTCCTAGCACTTGTACTCATATATTCTCCTTTTTCCCTTTAACTGAGTCAAATAGGACTAGTCTATGTAATGCATCACATCCCCTACCTCTTCCCTTGTTTATGATGGCTTTTCTGTCTAGTAAGTCTTAATAACAAAAATAGTAGATACCATGTGCAAGGTGCTATATATTATTACCTCATGTTCTTTTTCATTTGTCTTCCTTGACCCTAGCAGAAGGAAAGACATTCTACCTTCTCTACACTTGCCTGGCACTTTGCTCTTTCCTAGAGCACTTAAACCTATTTCACCATGTGTAATAATTTTCCATGCACATGTTTTAGATCCCTTTTAGAACAGTAAATTCCTTGAGGGCAAGATTTGTGTTTTAATACCTGTTCATTGAATGAATAAATGACAAATATGAATATGGTAATCATTAAAAGAAAAATTAGTTTAAATCAGGAAATAGAGGATGCTTAAAGGTTTGAAAAGAACACTTCTATTTCCAATGAGGGGAGCAGTAATCAGGAACAATTCTACTCCCACTTTTACCAGGCCCCCTTTAGTTTCCTAGAGACAATAGGGTTAGCTGTCATCAATGAATTTGAGACTTCTTTGAAGAGGCAATATTGAAAAAGGAAGCAACAAGTTGGTTTAGGAAAATATTTTTACTTTCCACGAGGCTCAGGCTTACTCCTTCATCATCACATAGCTTTAAGCCTGTACTAATGACTTTCACTTTCTACAATAAAATTAATTATGTCTAATTTGTATCCTCCATTATTATTAAATATTTACTCTAATATGGATAAATAAAAGCAGGAAATTATATTTGGTCTGATATAAACCAAAATAAATCATAACTAAATAGAAAAGTACTGACATTGAATCTTTATTAAAGTAGGCAAAGATTGAGTCACCTTAGAGCAACAAAGATATGGTGAATACTTACGAGAATTTAATGCCACATTTGGAGATCAGACGGTAAATGACAAGGTCAAACAATGGGATGAAGATAAGAACCAGAAAGGGATTTATTACCTGTAATACCATAATATAAAGGATTAATTATAAGTTTTCTATCATGAATGTGGACATGTGGCCTTATTTGCTTGTTTGCAAACTCTCATATTCAAACACACTTTCATCAGAGTAAGTATAGAATGATTCCACATCTCTCAATCTTTTACACACAATACTTTATCTTCCTTGCATAAGATTTATCTTCAAATAGCCCAACGAACCCATTTCACCCTGAAACTTTTCTGTGAGTAAATTGGAAACTCTTCCTTTCCATTTTCACTTTACCTTTTCAGTTCCATATCCCAAGAGTAAATGTCATGACCAGGAGAAAAAAAATAAAGGAGAGAGGGAAGAATTAGGAATTGTTGAACCAGGGACTAAAAAGAACTGGAGTCAACAATAAATAGTGACCCTGACTTTATTCCTCATACTACAAAGTCTTATACTTGTTTTGATAATATTTCCATTATACCACCTTGACCTGAGGAAGAAAATAAAATCCAGTGTACTTTTCCTATAAGCTTGAAACTCATTCTTCTGGAATTAGGCAGAAGTTATTTAAGAGAAACTGTAAAAAGGAAGCATGGAGCTTAAAGAGAATATTTTTATTCTTTACTATTCCTTGGTATATAAGGAAAAAATAAAATATGAATGGTGATATTAATATTACACATAGAGATATATATATAGATGAGGAACAAGATGACCATAGAGAAGTCTCCTACCTGCATCTGGTCAGGTTGAAGCACAAAAAAACCCTGCAAAAATATAACAAATTAAATTTACATAATGGCTGAAGACAAAAAAAAAAGCCTAGATTAACATTTTTACTAATTAGTAGTTGAGAAGTATAAGAATCCATCACGTTTTGGTTCAGGGCTGCTATCTTGCTTGTTTGTTATATGGGGCAGACTGGAGATGGCTTCTGGCTTTGTTTGCTCAAGGCAGATGGGCCTAAGGGAAATTTTTCTGTTTTACTCACTGTGTTTTTCTTAACTAGAGAGAGAATAGAATCAGTGTGTTTTTATTAATTCCAGCAACTTCATTTGTAGATAATAATAATGTGAAGGACAAGACATTGTGTTTAAGATTCCCACTACACACAGTGTTTCCAAGTTTGTCCTTTTGCAGGGGAGGTTTACAAAAGAATAACCATGGTAATTTCTGAACAACTAGAAGACGGGAACAGATACAATTATATTTTGTAGGTTCCAAATAGACTGGTTAATAAAATGCTGACATCATTCCATCTTGTCCACATTGTCACAATTAAGACAATGGAAGACCAATATATTGATCTAGGAAGTGGAACAATTGAGAGCAGAGATGGAATTTTGAGTTTGCCAAGAAGTGGAGATTGGAGAAGAATGAATAATACTTACAACTTTCCAGATCCTTTCCACATTTATGTATAAAATATCCCACCTCCAGTTCCTCTGCTATCAACCATGCCTGAGAGATGGAGCCGATAGCAACAATCAAACCTGTCTCTGCTATGTCCCAGGCAGGAAGAAAACAGTCACTATACCAAGTCTGTATCACTTGATTAGCCATCCTCTCAGTATTTCCTTGAATATAGCTAAACCTTTCCCACCCTATGTTCCTAATTTCTAAAGTTAAGATCTAGCTTTTATTCTAGAACAGATTTCTTTACTTTTGCCTACTTGTATTTTTATGCTAAAGGCAACTTCCTTATGGTCTTTAGTCAATGTTGAGGCAAAAGCACAGAGAAATTAGTTTTTCCTCAATAGGAATAGATTTCTGTGGAAAATCACTTTTACTCACCAAATTTCCATTCATCTTGGTGGCTTGCAAGGTCCATCGTGAGCCCTGAGGCAGAAAGAGGCATTTTGAGAAATCTTTCCTGTGAAAGGAAAGGGGCCAGTGGAAAAGGAAGCCTGGAAAAGATCTATTCTTACCTGCTGATCCAAAAGAGCCCAGAACATGGGCAATGGGATATAAAGGAATAGTACCCTCGTCAGTGCCTTCACATCCATTATAAGCTGCTTCTGCAAGGAAAGGAAAGAAGGAATAGGCTGAATTGACAATTAAGGTTTTCTGTCTTAGTGTTGAAGTGTTTCAAGAATGTTAAAAGACATGGTTAAATGCAACAGGAGAGAGTCAATTTGGCTATTGGGAAAGGCTCTGTGGAAGCATGAGATTTTTCTGCAGTTCCCACTTACTGGGTATTTCTCAGCTGCCCAGTCTAGCCAGTGCTGTCGTTTTGGTATGTCTCTGGAACGGTTCTTGTAGCGGTTGGAAATAGCACACTAGGGCAGAACATAGTTATTAGTAGAGAGACAAAAAGAAACTAGGCCCTGCCTTTTTTTTTAATTCATTGTTCTTTCCTTAAACATACATAATTTATGTGACTTACTCCAACCCTCTGATTTCACTAGACTTTGAATTTCAAAATAATTCAGATATAACTTTATTAATCCTTATTTCCTGTTACCAAAAAATATAAAATTATTTTTCAGAAAATATTTTTTTTCCAATATTTTTGGAAGAAGTCACATTAAAAACAGTTGAGGCACAGAGGGAGATTGATGAATCTTGCTTTGCTAAAAGGTATAAAAGTAGAATAAATGTAATTGAGAAGAATGTATCTCCATGTTTGAAAGTTTATATGTTCAGTTTAGCATTTCTTTATCTTTGATTGGAAAAAGGCAGGTAAACAATTTATGTACTTACCCAGATACATTTGACAACTTGAATCACTATGTTTCCTTCAGGAGGTGGTTTTTTGTATATTTTGCTTCCCATTGCAAACACCGCTGCATTCGACACACAAACAAGGTTCTTAGCTCCTCTATCTTTGCCTTCTTTCTACCTTATTTTCCTGGTATTTTCTTTATTTCATCTATTCTCATGGCTTAGACACTACCCATAAATTAATAGTTCTAAATTATTATCTACAGACCAAACCTTTGTTCTGAGCTCTACACTATATTTCTAGAAAACTGGTAACTACAATTAGATATTCCAAGGTTATTTAAAATGTAACAAGTCCAAAACAAAATTCATTAGTATTGTCCCAAACCTGTTCTTAACCCACTACTCAGGAAACTTACCTTCTCCTTCACTTCACAATTTAATCCTATCAAACTCTGGGGTGAGCTGAATGAATACTCACCTTGAACACAAAATTAATGAAATCACAAATATTCAGTAAACAAGGTAAAAAGTATACTGGCTGACTCTTAAGCCATTATTTCTCCACATTACAGTTGTGTCAATAGACCATTGAAAAATGAAGGCTAATGTTCATTCCTCTGTTCAAAATCCCTCTGTAGCTCCCCATTGTTCTTCTGATGAAGTTTCCATTTTTTAATGACCTGAAAGGTCCTTATTTGTCTGATTTCTGTAATTTTCTCCACATTATTTTCTTATTTACACTCCAGGCTATCTTAATTCCTGTAAGATCCATGAATGTATCATGCTACCCTTCACCTCTTTATCTTATCAATACCAATAGTATCTGATTTCTGTTCACTTCTTTGATTAATATCAGTTAATCCTTAGGTCTCATCTTATTTCTTTAGGTAAACCTTTTCTGCCCCACAAAGTCTTAGTTGGATATCTTTCCTATATGTTCTCATGGCTTTTGCAGTACTTTCCAAGTTGTGACACTGATCATATTATTTTGTATATGCCTTGTTACTTGTCTGTTGCCCTCTTCTTGTTAGAGAAATATATTTTCTCAAAATGTGAACTCTGTAACAGCCTAATTCACTGATATGACCCCAACCCCAGCACAAAATCTGAACCTTGATAGATTTATTAAATAAATGTTTGCTGAACTATTAAAAAAGAAATGAATATAAATTAAAGTGAATGGCCAGAGGATTGAGTGATTTCTTAGTACCCAGAAAACTTGAAAAAGCTGACTAATAAAGACAGATAACAGTTATCAAATATTTTTTAGTTTATAAAAAATTTCACTTACGGCACAGGGGTGATTTGGTGATGGGAAACCCGTGGGGATTACAATTGAGATGAAAAAAAAAATGTGCAAATAAACTTTTTAATAAAAAAAATTCACTTACATCATCTTTTGAGCTTCAAAATTATGCTAATATGTACAAATCATTATTGTGCAGTGATCCAGAAAGGGAGACAAAACTAATCAATGGATGAGGAAAATATTTTGACTTTGAAGGAATAAGTAAACAGGGAATATACTATTCCAGCTCTTCTGCAATAACACACAAATTTCCCTGGAATTGGAATTGGAAGCTGAGCATTACTACCACCCCAACCCTACTCTGCTGGTAAAAAATGATTAGGCTGAACACTGAGTTGCTGGGCTCCTTTTTCCTCTCTTGAGTTCTTTATGTGGTGATACTGGATATCTTCCAAGGGGGTGTTACCCAAAGGCTCAGAGTGAGAGCAGGTTTCCAGGTCAATGGTTAGAAATAATCATGTCCAAGTTTCTCCTTGGGCTGTGTAAGCTAAGCAACACACGTATTCTCCTTCCTCTTCCATTCTGGGTTCTCAGTAGTAAAGAGAATAGCACTCGATCTAAATTACATCAGTTTCCAAGAATGTTCCAATTCCTCTTATTCCTTTTGCTCAGCAGCAGTAAACTGCCTGCGAGCCAAGCAGAGCAGGGTAGAGTAGTTAAACTTAGACAACATTTTACTGCTTTTTAAATGTAACTGTTAAGAAACTTATTTTATTAGTTTAATAATTTTTTTTATAGCAAACTGGTTTACAACACAGTCTAAGTCTACCATCTCTTACCTCTTCAAATTATGATGCCATACCAATTCACCACCAAGATTTTAATAAATCTCCACCACAATCCACTGGACTCTTCTACGAGTTGTTTCCACCCCCTACTCCCTTCCCATCTGGTCAACACAAGGCCCAGAGAATTTGAAATGTCTTCCAATTACCAGGTAAATAACTCTTTGATGAAACAAGCTAGTTTGAGAGAGAATTAATTATCTCTTGCTTCCTTACATACTATAGCATAGAGCAATAGATCTCAACCTTGATGTATATTACAATCCTGATTTAAATGGTGCTATAGGGGTCCAGGGGTCACTCTTTTCTGAAGTCCCCCAGAAAACTTCCTACTTGGCACATTTTTAAAAGGTCTCTGACTTCATTCAGTTCCTTGATCTGCCATGTGTAGGGGAAACCCCTAAATAGCAATTAACTAATAGGATTAGTGTGAGGATTGAATGAAACAGTTTGTGTAAAGTACTTTCAAGATGCTTTACATATGACAGACATTAGTGATTTGGTCTTCTCTGTCACACTACACTTACCAAGAGCTATCACCATAAGCAATCCTGGAACTCCAAAAGCTAGTGCATAGCAGTCTTCCCCAAAACACTTCACATCTCCTAAAAAAAAAAAAAAGTAACCTTGAACCTTGAGTCTTTGATACTTCATTCTGAAAGCTCAGTTTTTTTAGGTCATAACATAGCCCTTCTTTTTCTTTCCTCCCATCACTTAGTCCATAATCCTCCTTGTGAGGGTTGGATAAATCAAGATTAAATAAAACATTTCCCTCCCCCCCATATTTTCAAGAGAGGATGGACAACAGGAAGCCTTGAACAGATTTTTGGCTGGTCAGATTAAGCCTTATACAGGGCCCCTCCGAAAAGATCCTAACCTCTCAGCATGGGTGTGATAAATGTAGAAATCAAACTCCCTGCATTGATGGAGAGGTAGAAGACTGAGAAGTATCTAGTCCGCTCCTCTGCCTGAAACAAACAGGACAAATCATCAGTTCAATGTGGCCCCTAACTTCATCTCCACCCTATAGTCAGACTCAACTAGAGGTAAATACTAAGAGGTAGAGTCAAATATTGCCTCCCATGATATCGGTATATCATATTAGATATTTTAACACTTACCAGGCTGACTCCAAGCAAATATTTACCCCTCTTTGTAACTCCAGTACAAGCATCTTTAACAACTTTTTACCCCCTTACTTGGGCAAAAATTATTATAAATACACTATACTACTACTATGTCCTATATATCTCTATTCTGGCTTTAATTTCTTTGCATTAAATGCCTGCTTCATTCAGGACATTGTGCATTCCTTTAGGGAAGAAATCATACCTTACACATTTCTATAAGCTTTATAGGTACTGTGTACCTAACACAGTATTTATTACATTACACTTTTATTGACTGAATTAAATGAATTGTTGATTGAGTTAAATAATGTAATGTGTGGAATGTGTGATAGGTATAGAGGAGTAGAATAAAGGACAATGGAGCTAACTGTTGATCAAGCAAGGAAGTTTGCCAGAGTATAAAAGGAAGTCCATGGGCTTAGAGGGGATTGATGGAAATTTGAAGTTGAGTTTGTCCTATTACTGAAATATCTCTATGAATATTCCATGTACAGTTATCAAATGAATTACTTTTAAATAATTTTGCTGATGCTTTATTCACTGTGCATTGCTGTGGTTCGTTCTGGCACCCCAAATCTTTTCCTGATGATTTAGCACAATCTGTTCTTCCCCATTTTCTATTATAGTATGTCCTGCTTCCTCTTCCAATTTGCCTTACTTCCTCTTCTGGTCTACCTTATTCTGTTCATCTATCTGCACTAGTCATTGTGCATAGAGTCCCACTTGCCAAGTTTGTTTTTTCTCCAGTGTCAGCAATCAATTACAGTCTATGGCCTTTGGGATAGATAAAGAACATAGTGTGTTAACTCAAATGTTCTAAAGGGTAAGAGAAACATAGGAAGATAGGATATACAGAGAGAGAAAGATCAGAATAATGATAAATAGCTTGGAAGAAGGAATAGACACATACTGACAGATTAAGAAAAGAAAAATGAAAGTGAAGAGAGAAAGTCAGAAATGTTAGCTGACCTAAAAGTAGATTATTTTCCTTGCCTGTTTGTCTTGCTTTCTCATATGGGTTTTCTCATGCTGCTTGGTTTGTTGCTGTTGTTTTCCTATTTATAGTGGAAAGTAGTAAGAAAAATTTTAACTAAGAAATTCATTGTATTTTATTCTGAGTTTTCATTTCCCCTTTTCAAAATATCAAAGATAGCTAAATTATCACTATGCTACCCATCACCGCCTGTTCCCAAAGTGCTCATCACATTTACTCTTAAATGCTTTAAATGAGAGGCAACTCACTACTTCAACCTCTGACAATTTGAAGTTTTTCCTTCCACTAAGCAAAAAGCTAACTTACTATAGTTGTCACTCTCTGGTCCCATGTTTAATTATTGCCATCTACAGAAAGTTATTATACTCTCTTTAATTTTTATCTTATACAGGTTAAGTACCTTAATTCCCCTCAACTTTTCTTCATAAGATGTGTCTTTAGTCCATCTACCACACTGGTTACTTTCCTTTGGGCATTTCATTTTTTCCATTAATTACCAGTACACCTCACTGATCACAGCTCCCAGATACGATCTGAACAATGGCTTATTTCAGTTCTGGCAAATAGTCATTCTCCAGTTATCTCTTTTAATGTTTTTTAAAAAATTTTGACAATACAGAAATAATAGGTATCTTACATGTTTTTCTTCAAACTGGTCTCCACCAAAAGCTGCCACACAGGGTTTGATACCACCTGTCCCCAAAGCTATTAGACTCAGGCCAACCAATGACAGGACTCTGAAATGGAGAGGTGAGGATACTAACCACACTGATACTAAACACAAATGAAAAAAATTTAATTAGAAGTACAGGAGGAAAACATGTATACATGGCAAAGGAGGAATCGAGCAAAAATGTGGCCTTTTAGGACCAGCTAGACACCAGAATATTCACAGATCACATAAACAATTCATTATATACTAACCTCAGTATAACCTTCAAACAAAAAAAGAAGTAAATGATAGACCAGAAATCAAAACTAAACAAAACATAAAGGAATGTGAAAAAAATCAAAAGAAGACAAACTTAAAAAATAACAACGTGTCAATAAGTACATGTTTTAATAATTACCTGAAAATAAAGCTATCGAATGACTGAATGGATTTCAAAACTAAGTCCAACCTTTTTTTTGTTTACAAGAAGCAATAAAAATAAGCACTGACTTATCGTTAAAAGCTGGAAAACAATCTTACAAACAAATGCTTATCAAAAATGTCAGGAATACCTATACTTATATAAAAAAGAACTCCAATTAAAAAAGAGAATAAAACAGAAAGAAATGACATGCACATCTATGTGCACTGAATGATGAAGCACCCAAGTACTTAAGACAATTATTAATAGAGCTAAATGGAGACACTGACAATATCAATAACACTAGGGGACTTTAAAACTATGGACATATCAGCAAGACCAAGAATAAATGAAGAAACAATAGCCTTAGATGAAAAATGAGACCAAATAGGTTTAATAGATATCTGCAGATATCTATTTTTTGTCAAGTGCTCATGGAACATTTTCAAGACTAGACCATATGATAGGAAACAAGTTGATTGTCACTGCAACTACAAAGGTTGAAATTATACCAGGTACTTTCTCTGAGTACTGTTATAATGATAGAAACAACTATTAAAAAATAAAACAAGAAAAAATATAGATACATGGAGATAAAACAGTATACTACTTAACATCTATTGGATAAAAAAGAAATTAAAACAGAAATTAAAAAATGCCTTCAGAGTAAGAAAAATGAAGATATCAGATCAAAGGACTGCAACAAAAGCAGGTGTAAGAGGGAAGATAATTGCAATCCAGGCACATATTAAGAAACAAGAAAAATCCCCAATAAACAATCAGGGAGTACACCTAAGGCAATGTGAAAATGAAGGTAAAACAAGACACAAAATTAGTAGAAGGGGGCCTTTTTGGGGTGCAAGAGGTTAAAGCGTCGCACTATGAAGCTATCCACAGCCAGCACAGCATAAGTTGGATCCCCAGCCAGGGAGGTGGCCCACATGGCACAGCAGACCTCTCCTGTCACCCGTTGCTCCTTTCAGCAGTGGATTTCAGTCAATCCACCTGTTCTGTTCCTTACTTTGTCTCTGGTGAATACTCTCACCCCTTGTACTCCAGTTTTTGTGTGAATAAATAAATGAAATCTTTTTTTTAAGTTAGTAGAAAAAAGAAAATAATGTAAATAAGAGCAGAAATAAAGTGGATTAAAAGACTATACAAAGAATCAATGAACCTAAGAGTTGGCACATTGAGAAGATAAACAAAATAGATAAACTTCATTCTAGGCTATCAAAGAAGAAAGAAAACATTAATACACATAATCAGAAAAGTAGAAATTATCACAGATAACACAGAAATTTCAAAATATTGAATCACTAAACACAGTAAATTTGATAATCTTGAAGAAATGGACAAATTTCTAATCAGTATAATTTACCAAGACTAAGTTACAGGAAGAAATAGAAGAATTGAACAAACCAATCACAACCACAGAAATTGAAACAGCAGTAAAAATCTTCCCCAAAAACAAAGCCCATAACCAGACAGTTTTACAAATGAATTTTATCAAACCTTCAGAGATGGACAAATGTCCATATTGTTCAAATTGTTTTTAAAAATACTAAAGGAAGGAATGCTCTCTAAATCTTTTATGACGTCAACATTACCTTAATACTGAGACCAGACAAAAATAGGACAAGAAAACTATAGACCCATGTCCCTGATGAACACTTATGGGAAAGTCTTCAGCAACATACTATCAAACTAAATTCAAGGATTATATATCATGGTTATGTGAGATTTATTCCAGGGATGCAAGGATAGTTTAGTATATACAAATCAATCAATGTAATATATCGTATTAACTAAGTAAAGATAAAAATCACATGGATGCAGAGAAAACATTTGGTAAGATTCAACATTCACTTATGAGACAAACAAACCAATATCCAATATAATACATCATAGTGAAAAACCAACGCTTTCCTTTTAAATCAGGAATAAGACGAGGGTAACCACTGTCATCACTATTGGTGGTGACCCTACTTAGTATTAGATATTCTAGCCAAACAAAAATACAAATCAGAAAGGAAGTAAAACTATCACTACTTGCAGATCATGTTATATTATATATGGAAAATTTTGAAGAAGTCGCCAAAAAGCTATTAGAAATGAATATAGCAAATTGGCAGGCTATAAAATTAACATACAAAAAAATAGCATTTTTTACACAAATAACAAAGAAGAAGAAAAAGAAATCAAGAAAACAATTCCATTTACAATTACCTCAAAGAATCACTACCTCAGAATTAAGCTAACTATTGCGCTGAAGGATTTATGCAAGAACTCCAAGACATTATTAAGGATTTAGTGACAGAAGGAAATGGAAATGAATCATATGCTAATAGGTAAGGAGAATCAATATATTCAAAATGACTGTCTTGTCTAATGTGATATATAAATTTAAAGCAATTACCATCAAAATACTTTTCAAAGAAATTGAACAAAAATTATTGAAATATATAGGGAAACATGAAAGGCCTTGAAACCTACAATTATCGTATCTAAAAAAAGTTGTCATAAACACACTATGCAAACATAAGTATTTTTATTCTTATATTATGAGCGAATAAAAATATTTTTATTTGGTTCATAAAATGGGGGAAGTCTAAATGCTTTCTTTAACATTTATGTGTCTAAAATTAGACATAAGCTCTATTTCAAACTAGAAATCTGAAAAAACAAACACCAGACTTCCAATCAATTCTTCTAAAATTCACACTCCCCCCCTTTTTAAATATGATTTATTTATTTATGCATACATGAGCTGGGGTGTGGACTAGAGATGCAGCCTTTTCTAATGGATCCTTTTGTTATTAAAACATCAAAAAAATCTAACAATCAAATAAATCTAAACCAAAAAAAAAAATCCTACAAAACTAGGAGCTTGAAATGGAAATAATGGGACAACACTCACACTGATGAAAACAGTAGACAAAGCTGGCATAAAGCAATTGTTAGTAGACTTCATGAAGGGTATTTGATCATCTCTCTTAAGACTGTACTAAAATTACAAAGGACTTTAAAAATATAAGCTCACAAAGACAAAGAGAGCACCTGTTGATGGATGTGTACAGGGTCAACAAATGTTTGAAAGACAAAGTGGATAAAGGAATTCTGGTTCCAGTGGAAAAAACATACCCCACCCTATCTTTTCCACTGTATGCACCTACATAAACAGAATGTGTAAATCAACTATATGAGAACTTTGAAAGAAAATGGTAGATTGGGGAGGGGAGAAACATAACTCAAAGTACTATCAAACAGTTATTTTCCTAGTACCTTACAGCCTGGATCAATACAGTCAGAACCTGCCATGGCATTGCCACAGACAGAGAACTTCAGGACACCCCTCTCTGTTGTGGCTTGAGAGGCAGGAAATTGGTTTTCTAAAGCTCAGAGTTAAGTGGATGAAATAGCTCTCTCCCCTTTTTTGTTCTGTACTCCCTCATTCTTTTGCCCAGTGGGTGGCACAGTTGGGCAAATAAAGTCTCAACTTTGTGACATGGGGGAATGAAAAGTGGACACCCTTGGAACATGGGGTATCTGAGAAATCATAAAGAGGCAGAATCTAGGGAAAGTGAACGCAGGAAATTATTTATGAACTCCGGGAGAAATCTTTAAGTTGTGCATGGATCTTATCCTAAATTGTCTACTGAAGCTAACCAGGGTAAACCACAGCCCAAGGTGCAGCCTGCTGATGGTAGTGTTCATTCAGGACAGGTCTGATATTGCTGCATGGACACTGGAATTATCACCCATAGATCTGGTCAGAACTTGCAGCCTGAATCCAACCTAATAGATATAGGTCTAATAAACCTCTAAAACAATTACAACAGAAAGGGGTGGGTTATAGAATCTCTGTGGTTCTCCATTCCACCTGAAGTTATAAAATAGTCTAAGTAGACTGAAATAGTAATTGTTTACTGTAATCCCTAGCTTAATGATACCATACTAAGCTACATTATCAAAACAATATAAAGTAAAATGGAACAGTAAAAATTGTTTTAACTATTACAGAAACATTCATGGCAACTTTATTCACAGTGGTCAAAAAGAATCCACTTTGAATCAGTTGAAGAATAAGTTCTGCAATAGGTAAAAAAGAAATGAGCTTGGGTTAAAGGAGGAAAATTTAAACTGGTCATAAATTTTCTTTTAGCCAGTTTGGGAGTAAACTAGTAAGTTAAAAAATAAAGGGATATTTCTAGTAAGAAAATAGATAAATGCATGAGGCCTGTCAAATATAAGAAAATTCAGTTTACTGTATGATTTTACTCACGTGTGTAGCATATATCCCCCCAGTATTGGTAAGGCACCCAATGATTTGATCACATGGCCAAGTACATACACCAGGGAGAGGTAGATGATTGTCCTGTTGAGAAAATGAAATGTCAGTTTATAAACAAAGATTTGAATAATATGCCCAGAGCACAGGGATTTGAATAATACACCCAGGGCACAGTTCATGCTATTCCTAGTGCCAGAATAAAGGGAATGGGAAGAAGAAAGGATGGAGGTAAAAGAACTACCTGAGAAAAGACAAATAGAAATGACAGGGAATGAAGTAAAGTGACTAAAAAAGAGAGAGCAACTCTTCATAGTGTTGAAGGTAATGGGTACCCCCTTCAAGCTCCTTTCTCAGTTTGCCTATCTCTGCCCTCCTACCCTCTTCACCCCCCACCCCCAGAACATTCATGCTCTTCTACAAATATGTCAAGACCAGGATGGATTTGTAGCAACTGATAATGTCTTAAATCAGTAGACCCAGAAGAATAGGATACTTTGACCTGAAGTATTTTTCTCAAGGAATCTTTGGCTCTAGAAATTGATAGGGATCAAGAAAGAATTCCAAGTAAACAGATAAAGGAATGGCTAATACAAAGCAATTCTCTAATCTCTAAGCACTGGAAAACTTAATGATAAAAGGCTCTCAGTTTCAGGTTGGTCACTTGAACATTTGGGTTAACTGCAGTCTCCCTTATTTTCCTTATGGATAAATTACCAAAGTTAAGAAAGTAGCCAGGAACTTAAAACAAACTGTACATGAATAAAAACCACTTAGTTGGCAGGGACTTCCTGTTTTGCTATTGTCTGAGAAATCTGAATAGCAAATAGAAAGCAGAAGAGTGAAGAGTTTCAGTAAGGCTGTATATAAATGCAGTGAAATATGAGAAATATGACACACTACAATATATAAACATAGTTATTAGTATTTTCCTTATAAGTAGGATGTTAGTACTGGAAGCAAACTTGGAAGTTACACAGTTTATCTCTGTGACTTTAATGTGTTATATGCTAACATGAACTATAAAGGATGGAAAGGAGATTCTGGAGAAAGACTAGAGATGGTAGAAATCTCAGTATGTGGATTTATCTTTCTCAATGCCTAATATTCCTAGGATGGCTCTCCAGAGAAATGACCTCAGAGAATTTATAATAGCAAGTAAGGATAATTAATCTAAGCTTAATTAATATTAGCCAAGAAGGACCAATTTTCTGAAAATAACTTAATCTGTCTTTTAGAGATAAGCTTCATTTTTGGATTAGAAAGAATAAATAGAAAGGAAATAAGAGACACTGAAAAAGGTTAATCTATCATAAACCCAAAAGAGATGATCTATGCCAGACCTTCAGAGGAAAAAAACAAGACATCTGAGCTGAAGTGAGAGAGACTGAGTAGAAATATCAGAGCAACATAGGATTTCTATCCAGAAGGTGAATGAGAGTAGTCTAGGTTCAGTTGTAAGAAACAAGTATGAGGACATTAGCTCTTTCAAAGGACTCCCCCTGCACCAGGACCTCTCCCGGGCTGTCCAAAATTTTATTCTGTCTGTAAATAAACTTTGCTTTGTTTGTACTAAAAGAAAGAGGAAAGACGGGAGGAAGATGGGAAACAGTGAAATGTTTTAGGTGTACATTTTCTGTGTCCAAGGTAGAGGAAATGAAGACCAACTAGAATAGTGGCAGCTAATGGCAGCAGGATTCAGTGTTTAAGTATAAATATGTAAGATATTACTGAAAGAGAATTGGTAGTGTTGATAACTGACTGGATGTGGGGGTATAGAAAGAATAAGCTTCAGGAGTGAAGATAAGGTGGAACATCCAGGAGATGAATGTTAATATGCTGTTACAAGACATACTGGTGCTTTAGTGGCAGGTTAGGGCTAATAAGTTTGAGGAGTTGAATGTAGCTATAACTGACACTACAGGGCTGCTAAGTGAGAGTTTTGAGAATGAGAAAGAGGTGAAAGTTTTACCCTGGGGAGATGCTTACATTCAGGAAAGAGATTAGTAAACAGAAGGGGAAAGAGAAGCCAAATAAGGAAAAGTCAAAAAAAAAAAAAAAAAAAAAAAAACAATGGTAGGAGGGAAGAGAACCAAAAAATGCAATGTTAGAGAAGATCTTTTCAATATAGGAACTATAAACAAACTAGAATGCTAAAATAGGTTCAAAGTAAATACATGAATAACAATTTAGAAAAGATCATGGGAACAGTGATCTTAGAGAAATT